ATACAAACATTTAAACAAACAAAACATCTACCAAAAATATGTTGTACAGAATTTAATCTTCGATATATATATACATATATATCCTCTATATCCTATAACTCGCATACCAATAAAACAATGAATAAATTAAATATGTTGCACACAGATTCAAATGTACCAAAGTGCTAAATACGATTAATTTCAAAAACTAAACTAATAGAATCAATTGCTAAACTCATTCAGTTTCTGTTGCCATTGTGAAATCTGATGGTAAGGAATTTTAGCGCAAAATCAGCTATTGAAATACATTTTGTAAATGGTTTTGAAGTGTTGCGTAAAAATAAATTTTGTTTGATTTGGTATGCAATTTAATCTGGTTCACTATTGGTAAATGTTGATAAGCTGTAGCAATAAATGTTAAATGTAGTTGCAAAATATAAATTTTACAACAATATATAAGTGGAAACCATACTGTGAAGTAAACTTGATCTGCGCATGATATACGATGACTTTTACTCCACATTTTGGAACTCTTAATGCTGTTCACTTATACGATACATTAAACTATAACTAACCAGTTTGCTGATCATGAAAAACTACTAAGTCAAAGTGCAACAATATTTTTAAGACTCGAATTTTTTATATTCAGTCTATTTTTATTTCTTTTGACAGAAGTTGAAATTTAATTGTACTGTGTATATTCTATATATAAATCTGATACTGATCATGGCTAAATCCACTTTGGCAGCTGCAGCTAATGAAAACGTGATAGGCACAGAAAATGGAAGTCAATAAAAATGGTACAGAAAAGACTAAAGGACAAAACATTTATCCAATATTCATTCAATATGCGATGAGAAATATATGAAAATAAATTGGAGAACTTACATATATGAGAATCACCAAAAATTAATTGGTTTCACTACCTTTGGACACGTTCCGGGTGTTCATAAAATCAATACCTCTAACAAAAGAGGGCGTTGCTGTCGGATAGAACCGACTGTGAAATACTTTGATACCATTGGTAATACCAGCTGATGACAGGTAGCAAGGAACAAGGGGCGGTACCAAGACATACCCATCTTTGAAGGAGATTTGCAATAACCTAACTTCCAAGTATACCTTTAAAATTTCGGTACATATGGGCTTTTATGAATTTTGAGGGCGAGAGTTGAAAGAGTTTCCTAGTAACCTTCCTTCCAAGTTTGGTAACTGTAGCTCTTAAATTGAGGATATATAGGCTGTTGAGAAGGAGTGGCCAGAGTGGGAGTGAAAAAGAAAACATTTTGGAGGGCGAGCCTAGTAATCTGCCTTCCAAATATAGCACACAATTTTTACACTTTATCTGACGTGGACACAGACCTGTATATGTTCCAAGTTTCAAGTCTCTATCTCTAAAGGTGTCGAAATAAGTTACATTCATACTGACGAACAGACGGGAGGACTGACAGACGGGCTGACGGACGGACAGATAGCAGAAAACAAATATACAGTATGATAAGATCTAAGACTCCAAGACAGAAGCTCCAGGTTGACCAGTTATCCAACAGCGAAACAATAGTTTGATATCATTGGCTTTGATGCTGATATCTTCTTGGGCTTAGAGAAGATCAATTGCTTGACAATCAGCCAATCTTCATGAACACTATGCAGTCAAGGAAGACCTTTATCGGGGATTCAATTTAATAATGATCACTCTGAAGGCAATTGTGATTGTCGTGATTGATTGATTGTGGAAATACTTAAGCACATTGATCTGTGCATCATCTTTCAATTATTCTTCTGTTTGTTTCTTTACTTTGCAGTTATTTAAATCGAAAGTACAATTGTGATGGAAACTATCTAAAGAATCTTATCGCTTGGAGCCAGACTTAGGTATGAGAATAACATAAATTTGATGAAGCTCGGCATTTCGATAATCCCCCAGGTCTTAGTTTAAAATGACGAGCATTCGAACTGACAAATAGACTTAGCTAGATCGACTTTGTTGTTGATTTTTGATGCTTCCTTTCGCTTGTGACAGACTTTTGCACAACTTCATTAAAAAGAGATATCCGAGAAAAATTGAAAACAAAAACATGTTAATGGAAAAATCCTATGAAAATGATTATAATCCCACATATGTATAAACAGGAAAAAAACCCATGCAGATTCGTGAACGTGCCTTGAAAATGATGCAGCTGGAATTGACAACAATGAGTTGGCAGATCAATTCTGAAGAAAAGGAAGCGAAAGGACTTGAAGGAAGAGAAACGAAAAAGTAAGCTAATGCAGCATGTAGAAAATTACAGCGAAATGATACGCAAAATATTTCAATACACAATGATAAATATGTGCAAGGAGCACAGCAACTTTGGACGTGCTTCTCTCTCGCAACTGTCCCGACATCAATACACGCGGGTCTCATAGCATACACACACATACACACACACACACACACACACACACACATACATATAAACAGACATACGCACACAACTGCCAGCAGTTAAAAGAGGCAACAAAAGAAATCGCACATTTCAACGTTTTGAATTTGTAAAAGGATATTTTTCACATTATAATAAGAAATGAGGCTGAGAACGCGCAGCGCATGTTATGGTCCACGCCCACCTCCCCCCACACCCAGACAATGCTGGCTATGCGGCTTTTCCTATCTAGCCATCTCCCTCTATCCCACTCCGCCAGCCTCTGTCTCCCTCTCGGCATTCACAGGCAGCCACTTTAAAATGCAGAACAGCTGAAAAATCATATAAACACAAATAATAAAATCGACAATTTGGCAAGAGGCGCACGCACATCCTTTGAGTTGTATCAGTGTGTGTCTGTGCGTGTGTATGTGTGTGTGCGCAATGAGCACATAACTGCAAATGTACTGGCAACAAAACGTGCGGCGATTTTTTAACAAGTCTTGTTGTGTTCTCCAAGGGAAAAGGGTTAATTTAACCCAACCCCCCCAAAAACAATCCCAAACCAAACAGTAAAATATAGAAACATAAAAAGATGCTTGCTAGAAACTCGCCGACTTGACGTCGCCTTATTCATCACATCAACTTTAAATATATTTACATATATATATATGCATATATATACAATGTAAGCAATCGACTTCAGAATACAACTACTCAGTTAAGTGGAACTTTGAAGCCCATATCAGTCCAGTACTTCGCCGAAATCAGGCAAAAAAGAATAGTTAACTATTTATAGAGTCATCCCAAACACAAAAAGACGACCTTCATCGCTGGCATTGCTGTTTTGGCGATAAGGAATCATACGGAACATACAATTCTCTACTCAACATGGACGTGGACGTAAGGCAAAAATGATATGCCCGATGTAGTCATGAGCGTTAACTACTATCGGGATTTTATATGAAAAGAATTTTGACTGAGTAATAATGCATTTTATACAATATTTTAAATTTGTTTCCCATTAGTTAATTAAAGGTTTATTTTTGGCGTCCCTAGGATAATTATTTCTTTAATATACAAAAACTTAAGATGAAACAAATCAACGCAGCATAGCAAATTTTATAGAGTACTCGAAAGGTTAGCTAATCCAATCAAGTAATTAACTTACCTATCAACATTTTTCAATAGAAATCGGTACACAAAACAGCTCAAAATGCAACCCTTCATTGTAATTTTATTAAATCCTCTACTCAATACTAAAGTTGATCTAGCCGAAGAAATACTTACTATGGAGGTTGGTAAGCACGGGTAGCCTGCTGAACTTGTTATTTTGTTCTCACATCGGATTGTGGACTATGAGAAATTTCACATTATCGCTGATCGAACAGACTCAACAAAAGTAGGAGAATGTGCGCTAAATTCCTGAATGATATTTACTATGAGGAATTCGTTAGAATTTGTCTCTGAATTGGATCAAAATTGAAGATTTACAATTACTGTTGCTCTTTGAATGAATCATTTGTAATATTGTGCGCATATATAAGTTAAATAATATAAATAATTCTAAATGTTTTTCCCATTGAATGTGATATGTAGAGAAAATGTAAATTATTTTTAATGTTTTTCCCATTGAATGTGAATTAAAGTAAAATATAAATGTTTATCCCATTGGATGTCTGTACCTAGTGGAAAATCGATTAAGTGGCAATTGCAAGCAATTGATTGACCAGTGTTGGTACAAAACTCGATAACAAAATCAACACATGTTTACCAGTTCGCCGTACTGAGTACTGGGTATGTACACGTTCAAAGGTGTGTCCACAAGTAGCATTAGAAAGTTGCACAGAGTCGCACTTTCTGGCATACACACTTCTAGTATTTTCTCTCTAGCGAAGAGGCTGCTAATGGACAGCCGTTTCCCATGTTGGCACATTACAGGGCCCGGCTGCATTGTAAAACATAATCAAAATAACTCAGGCCCGCCGACTAAACACTCTCTTTCTCATTAACAGCTCAATTTGCGCTCTTCCTTATATATCTCTCTCTGACGGTCGAAGCGTGTCAAAGAGCATAATTTCAATTAATCTCTTTCTCTCTGCTCTCGCTCTTCCTCTCCCTCTCTCTCTTTCTCGTGCTGTTTCTCCAATGATGAAGAACGTGTGTGCGAGCGGCGTTGCTGCTGCAACTGAAGACGGAAAGCAGAAGACCGAAACAAGTAATAACAGAACCGCAAGAGCAATGAAAATATCTCAAACCTGCCGCCGGCGCTGGGCTACAATTCCAGGCTTGTTTTTATGTCTGTATATGGTACATACTATGTACATATATTTTAATGTTTTTGTTGCTGTCGCTGTTGCTGTTGTTTTTGTTATTGCTGTAGTTGATTTTGCCGCTTGTCACAATTTTTCTGTCGTCTGCCGCCTGAGCGTCGTCGTTTTATCAGCTGCCGCTTCAATTTTAAAACTATTCCCGTTCTCTTGCTCTCTCGCTCTGTTTTCTCTCTCTCTCTCTCTGATTTAGCCTCTCACATGAAATGCTGACGCAGCCCCCCGCCCATCGCCCATCGCCTGTTGCTTTTGGTAGACCATTCTGCTTGGGTCGCTCAATCGGCTGTATCTGTGGCGGTTTTCAGTGCACGTTGGATTCTTGACGCGAGCGCGACGATCGCTTATAGTATACAAAAGTAGCGTACCTAAAGTGATTCATTCATTGATTTGTTTTGTTTCCCTCGTTTTTAGTATACGCTCAATTGTCTGTGTGCGTGTGTTGATTGTGTGTGTGTATTTGTGTTTGGCATCTTTGTGCACATCTCTCTGATAATACTTAGTTGTCAGTTGACCGCAAGCAACACATATATAAAAACATCTACCTGACCTTTGACAAGTCACAGAGCGAATTTCAATATGAGGGAAATTGTGCACCTGCAGGCCGGCCAATGTGGCAATCAGATTGGATCAAAGGTGCGTATAATTAACATTCAATTAGTCTCAGCCACACACACATTGAACGCCCACCAATAATTTCTTTCCACATTTTTCACAGTATTCCATTCCTAACCTCACATGTTTAATTATAAAACCGAATGGAATAAACGCGCTCTTTTTCTCTCTCTGCTTTTCACGCTCAATCTCGTACCCACCCTCCCTCCCTTCCTCCCTCTCTCTCCGTTGCGCTCTTTTTTTTATTTGTCGTCTGCTGCTCTCATTTGCTGTACTGCAGAACGGGCAGAGGAGGCAGAGTGAGAAACTATAGAACTGCAAAAGCGACAGCAGCAGCAACATAATAAACTGACGCAACTACAATTCTAGAAGTTTAAATTCACGCTAATTTATCTTATCACGATAATGATATCAGCAGGCAGCAGCTAGCCAAAGTTTCTTCGGCAGATCATTCACTTTTAAAGCTTAAGTAAGCCTAGCAACATTCCAAGTTGAATTATTTGACACTCGCTTATAATTGGTTGCATTATTTCCATTCACATATGTACATAGCTGCCACCACCGAGTAAAGACATATCGAGATTTCAAGATTAAATGTTAAATTCAAAATTGTTGTTAGTCTTGAACCCGATCATGCCAGTAATTAGATACAAAAGGCTAACAGTGAATTTTAAAACTCTCTTGAAGGTCTCTTTGGGGCGGCTCTATTTCACATCTCAAACAGTTAATGTATTTAATGCCCAGTAAGCTTTCTTTTTTGCCTTATTTCATTTGCCCTCTACACTTGACTAAATTTACCAGCTGTGTTTTTATGTGTTTTTTTCTGTTTTTTTTATTTTTATTTTTTTTTTTTTAGCTTTTTACCATTTCTGGCTACAGTTGAATGCCAACTACAGCAGCGGCATAAAACAACAGCTAGATAATTGAGTATAGTTAAAAAATCTAGCACACACTTCTTCTTATGTATGTATATGTCTAAACATGCATTATTAAAGCAACTCTCGAGCTGTGTGTGTGTGTGTGTGTGTGTGACTCTGTGTGTATAAATCTTGCATATTGTGTGTGCAACAACCAACCAATAGAGTGTGACGCATTGGGGACTTGTGTCTGATTTTTGTATCATTTTATGGCATGACTACAAGTTTTCTTATCAGCAGCCAGTTGCTGTTAGCCAGCAACGACTCCCCAAGCACCTACTTAGTTGTATGTGTGTGCGTGTGTAATCAGTGTGCTTGTTTACAAAACTGTGAACATACATAAGTACAAGTCATAAATAGTTGACAATTCGTATCGCTTGGCGAAACATCGCCAGAAATAGGCATTACTTGGTATGTGACATATGCCACAGGCTTATTTCGCATACATATTTTCAAGTGGGTCGCTGCACGCCAGACAGAAGCTAGCAGCTCTGACACTAAAGCCCGCATGCTAGCGGCCAATTAAAGGCATATAAAAAAAAGTATATACATAAAAAAAAAATAAAAAAAATATTGTAGAGGCCCAGCCCAAAACGCAACTCGTCGTTGCTCGTTCTAAGCTAATTTAGCGCGTTAATGTTAACTCGCACAATTTAACCCACCATGAGAATCCAGAAACAGCCCCAACAACAACATCGGCGCAGTCGTTGACGTTTGACACAGTTTTTATCTTTTTGTTGTTGTTGTTGTTGCTGTTGTGTTTTTCTTGCTGTGCTTTCTTCATTTCCCAGCGCAGTTTTCTCTCCACACACATATTACCCCATCTGCATATTTCGTTTCGTTTCGTTTGGTTGGGTATTTTTTTCTTTCTTTTTGCTGCCGCCTCTTTACACGCTTTTCCACTTCAATTTTATGTAAACATATTTTTAAAGCTCTTTTTTGCGTGTTGCAAAGTTAATTAGGCCGCACTTTGCAATGACAAAGCCATGGCCTATCCCATCAGGTTTTATGTTCGCATTCGTTCGCATTCCCCCATTTTACTTACATTTCATTAGCGGTATGCGTCCTTTGTTTTTGCCAGCATATTTTTTGAAGATTATTTAAATAAATAGATTTTGCCTGTATATATGTACATATACACATAATTCACGCTATCTGACTATGCTGCACTGCTCGTATATCAAAAACAACAACGAAACAAACAAAAAAAGAAAATACATCGTTTGCTGTTGCATTCAATTTGATTATAATAATAACGCAGCATATTTTGCCATTGGCTCACATTTTGGTTGAAAACTTGTTAATTTTCACTGCGATATTATTTTATAATTTAATTGAACGTCCATTTCTGATTAATTGGCTGTCAGTGTGAGTTATGGCCTTTGCGCTAAAATAAATAAATAATAAATATGCAAAACTGTCTGCGTGGCAAAAAGTAAGCTCACTAAATAGGCAAATTTATGTACAGCAGCACAAACATTGGTATACATATGTTTTTATGTTCACAACAGCAATAAGCCTAACAAACACAATTAATTCAAATTTTACTTTTAAATTTGTCATTAATTCCATGAATCATAAATCAATAGAATAGATTGCAGAAAAAATATGGTCACAAATTAGTTGGCAAATTTATTAAATTCGCTTAATTCCATAAAGAGATGAAACTGTTGACTCTTGACTGGGTTATTTGGTTTTAAAATTGAACGAGATTAGTTTAGGGTGGTTTTCGCTGGGATGAAAAGCGACCCACCCAATTCCCACGAAAGCTACTTGAGCCAAGTAGGCTAACATTTCTAGCACTATCTTTCTCAGCACTAAGCGTGAGCTCAGCAAACAAATGATTATGAATGAAACATTTATCACATTTCCCTTGGGAAACACTTTCCAACATTCAAACCATTGCAGTCATTTAAAATTGTTCATAACTTTCTTCTTGGTTTGGCTTGGTCGTTCTGTTGGTCATGGTACCTGGTCTTATAGGTCAACCCCATGCAGAGTTTAAGCTTCAGCAAATTCTCTATTTTTACAAAACTTAAACTAGCTTAAAATCGAAGCGGCTCGCTACTTTTTCGTATGCCTTCTGACCTTTAAGCATTAATTATGATTTAATTGTTAATTCCACAACAAACGAAATTTAAGAGAACATAATGTTAATTTAAATCATAATTTTTCAGGTGCACCAACTTCTGGCACACATCTCTTATATTTTCTCACATGAGCCGTTTCTTTTGGGCTTTAATTTTACAATATGGCCCAAAGTCTGCCGTCTGCTGTCTGCTGAAATTGATCACATACACACCCACGAATAAATATAAGTGTGTGTATTAATATTTTGTGCAGGCGGGCCATGCATGATGCCAGGATATTTGGTATGGCCTGCAGCGATGGCTTTTTTCATTATTTACATAAACCTAATTTTCCCTAAATCATTTTGTGAACAATAACAAGGGAAAATCTATTTACAGCGTGTGCCGTCTTCGCCCTTAATTCAAGCTAAAGCACAAAAAAAAAAAACGAGAGCCAAGAAAATGGCTATGGAAAAAACGTGGAAAAGAGTGTGGAAAATTTATAGACAAGTGCAACAACGTCGTATTTCAAACAACAAGAACGCAAAATGCCAAAACGCAAGCAACAGACAATAAAATTAAAGAGCTTGTAATGCCAACCAAAGGAAACCAGAGGATCCAACGTGACCTCCTTCCACTACATGCAAATGTGTGTGTGTGTGTGTGTGTCTGTGTGTGTGTTATTCATGTGCCCGCCTTAGGTTACATTTATTTAGCTTATAATGGCAGGGCATCATCGCAGCGCCAAAATAATGCACAAAATTGAATTATCGATAACGTTGGCAACTATCGTTGCTATAATTTCTGTATGGTAATGCTCTGCATGCCAAAAGGCAGAATGGAGCATGGAGGGCTGCATATTCAGTGGTATGGGTTCGTAGTCGCTACCTGTGTTGGGGCATTTGGTTCATGTTTCTGGCTAACTGGCTGGCGTTGTGGCGTTCTGACAGTTTCTCGCTGCTAATGCGCCTGGCAATATGCAAATGCAATTTTGATGCGGTCCTTGGCATTTCTGCTATCTGCTGGTGTTTGTTTGATGGTGGATATAACAACAAGCGATTGATAACTAAGTTGGCGTCTACCGCATTCTAGTTGCATATAAAGTAGATAAACTGTGAACGCATGCAACGATATCGGTTTTCAAAAACCATCAACAACCGCAATGGGAACCAAATCAACAGACTATAGCCATATATATAACCATAATGGGGATGTATAAATAATCTTCATGTCAACTACTATCTATTACATCTTAAATACATTCTTAACTGTATTGATTAGTATTTAATATAAGAAATAGTTCAACTCCTGAGTTGCTAAGTTCAGTTATCTGAAGCATAAAGCAGCTAAACTCTAACGTAGACGACGAGAGAGTAAATTTCATTACTATTTTCTGAGTTTCAGAGTTTCTTAAATTAATGTTTGCATTTATACTTTTTAGAAATATTTTCTATTATTAAGATATATGTTTCTGGAAAATATAAGAAAAAAGCTGTATAAAATTCCTAAAACAAGTAAAACTATCTAGTTCTCAAGGCCATTTGTATTCTAAGTAAAATTTCTAAAACTTTTGTTACTAGTTTACTACTATATTTTAAATATATACAAAATATATATTGACTCGGATTAAATGAACAAAAATCTAAGCTTAAATTCTGAGTTGGATAGTTAAGGTATTTAGTATTTATTTAGAAGATATTCTCTGTTTAATTCTAGTGAATCAAGTGAGAAATATATAGACTCTGACTTTGTTTACGTATGTACATTTCACAAAATGTATGTGATGTATGATGTATGCCCTGCTCATGCTGGATTCTTCAAAACAATAACCCTTGACAAGCCAAAAAAAAAAAACGGGGGAAAATATTTATAAATAAATTAAAAGAATAGCGAATAAAGCAAAAATAAATATAAATACATTTTTTTAAAAAATATTTTTCAATTTACATAAAAATGCGTTTATGCATACCAAATGAAGATTACACAAAAGCTTTCCATCGCATACAAACATTGGCACACACACACACACACACAC